AATCCGTTTTTTATTGAATCTCACAAGTTAACTGCCTTTTACAGACTAGTTGCTGATGGTTGTATACCTTTTTAATCGATTTCAGGCGGAATCGGTCTTTGGATGCTTGTTCCACAATTAATGATGATGTCTCTACTTATCAGCCCTGTACCGTGACGGTTTGTTTTGATTTCTTGCCTTTTTGCTCGTAATTCTGCTTTGTATTTTTTCCAAGGTTCGATCCAAGTTTAGTATGGAACTACTTCGCGGATCGTTTTTTGCTTTGTGAGGTGAAATAGTGGGGTTCTTGATGGTTCTTGATATTATCTGGACGATAAAAGTGCATCACTACCAGTAGCTTAATCAAACTAAGCCTCACCCGGTTCATTTGCCATGTGATTTGCTCCGCACCCGCCAGTATACGGTTTTACTAGGAGTTGATGTAGCGCCTATTTGACACCGTCTCGCGTTTTTTTTTTGTTCTTTCTCAAATATCGTAATGCATAATCGGTTTTCGTTTACGATATACTATGAGTAATTCTTTACTAAATACCATACTTTTCTTAAAACAGTACTTCGAGTAGTGGTTTGAAAAGCGAATAATGCACTCTGCAAATAGTGGAGAATTACGGTCTTTGTGTTACCGTTTCTCCATACGTTTTTCCCAACATGTTTTTGTGAATAAAATCTCATGTTTCAAGTCATGAGCACCAATGCCTACCGTTGTGCAGTTGGCTGGATGTTGTTTTCGAAACGAAAGGTTGAAAATGGCGAATTTCCTTTCAAAAGCACTAGTTTTTCTCACAATAAATATGAATAATTCATGAAACTGACCAGTGTTGAAGAATTTGACGCTCATTGGCTTAAGCGTTAACCGGGCGGTAAGGTGCGTAGATAAGGCGATATTACGACGAACCACAACAACGCAAGTATGTGGCCGACTTGTTATCAAGCCAATCTTGGCTACTCCAGAATGTGTGCCTACCCGATGTTCGGAATTCTGTTTCCCTATTGATTCGAATCGGAATTGGTAATGTGTTTCACAGAAGAGTAATCATTTTCTTTTACTTCACGTAAAGTATGAAGTGTGGTACTGCGTTTATTAGAGAACTTCTTTTCACTACTTCAACAATTTCGGCTATGGATTTTAATGGGACATTTCAGAATTCATCGCCATCAACCCATTCGAGTAGGCAAGGTACTATCGGCACGTTAAAGTCGATGTCTGGTCTGATGAGGTTAGCAGCGTCAATATGGTGTTCATTCAAGCTTTAGAATTACGATAAAAAGTTTGAAATGTTTTGGTACTTGTACTAGACGTTATAGTTTAAAGTTTGCTATTTTAATACAAAAGTTTGGCATGTAATTTTGAATTGGGATGAGTCTTATCTAATTGGTATCCTATGTTCTGCTATAGTAGGCATTTTCTTGTGACATTGATGCCGAAAGGTTTCTCTGTTTCTCCATTTCGTGAACGCAATTTTTCAAATGTTCGACCTACAATCATGTTCTCTGAGGTATATAACACCGAATGTATATTTGTTTCAGTAAAATAGTTTACACTTACGCTTACCAAAAAGCGTCTTAAAAAAATGGAAATCGGCAGACGCTGAAGACCACTGAATTTTTGATACCACAAACTTTTCCTGAAATCAAAACTCGAGTTGCTCCTCTTTTTAGTGTTCGTAACAGATTTTTCCTCACCTCAGTGTTACGACCATTATTTTACATTGTTTAGGCCGGAGCAGTCAGGTTTGATACCGCGTTCGCCATCACGAGCTGATCCGTCAGTGACATCACCGACATCAGAGCGAAAGCAAAATGTACTCCAATTTACCATACTAAATTTGGCGCTATTACATGATTTTATCCTATGAATTACAGGGTCTGAACCGTATTCAACAACAATCGTCCCGAGAGACCATAGTGCAGAACACCGTCATGAATTCAGAGCATCCTAGTCCACAAAAATTCCGAATTGCTGAAAAGAATTTGGTTAAAGAGATTCAGGAAAAAGAACGAGAGGCATTGCAAAAAATCAAGGAGCGACTGAAGGTGTGCATTTCAATCTTGTTATGCTGTACTCATTGCACAGAGGAATGAAGCTTCTTGACGGCACGTGTTTATCAGCGAGTGCGTCATTTTATTAGCTACTTCCCGACTGAAGTGGTTGAATCGAAGATACCTGACTCCAGTTCTATAATTTAAGTTTCTGAAAAGTAACCCTGCAAGCCTGTAACTAATAACCAGTTTTGAAGATTGTTTGGTTAGAATATGATTACTGTGAATAGTTCAGATGGATTTTCACAGTTAATATTCTGCGTTTGAGAAAAAATTTCTAAGCAGATTTTAACTTGTGTTGAAGTCACTAAGATTTTAACAATGGCAGAAAGTGCTTAAATGAACACCATTACCGTTCTTACTTTTTTAAAGGTAACGAATGTTCTTCTAAAAGTAGGTACATATACACAGTAAAGATTGACAGGGCATGAATGTTCGACGGCATCAAATTCGAAGAAGTGATCTGGAATGCGGCTACGGAAGAGTTTAAAAGATTTAAGGAAAGGCTACTATATGCTTCACTTTTCTACGCGTTCCAACTAGCCTTCGCAGTAGTATGACGCATTCCCGTGTTAATCTCTTCTGCACCCAATACCGTCCGTTTTCTTTACCATTACATGCACTATCTTGTCGTAATGCTTTGCTTTTTCGTTAGATGTTTAGCTATCACAGAGCTCGCTTATAGTAGAGATACTAACGGCTTCAATAACCAGGCGCTTCCTCCACCGGTCGATCAAGTGCATGGTTTCATTACGAAGAACAGTGTAGATCCTCCAGCCACTAAGTTATTCCAAGTACCGAATGAGCATCAGCAAGTCCATAGCACTCAACCTAAGACTCATACTGAACAGGAGGTACAATTGCGTGATCGTGATCAACACATGTAGCTTTTGGTTTAGTTGACTAAAATGCCATTGCGAGGTTTCTATCTATTAGCTTCGTATCGTGATGTAAAAATCTTTTTTCATTTTTTCGCCACTAGTTGTCGAATACCTTCTTAATACTATGGATTTTACAAAATTTTGATTTATTTCGTTACTAACGTCATCAATAAGGTTACTCTGTTTGTAAAAATTATCTCTGTGGCTATCATTCTGTGGTGGTTCACTCTCATTCAAGTGTGAATGCAACTGGTTAACATAAGCTGCCAACTTGTTCGCCGACCCTGTATGTAGACTCTCTTGGCGATGTGAAGTTGTTGACTATCCCCATTGTTAATAATATTCTGTTGTTGTACAATATCTGTAGAAGACGAATCATCATGTTATGTTGTAGGCCTCTAATTCAAGGTTTTCATGATATCATTTTGCTAATGGGAAGACTTCACTTCCTAGAGACCTAAATTCGTTGTATCAGCACTTTCCCAAGTATTATTAAAAAGTATTCACGGACGACACTCCTCAGAATCTGAATTTAGTTCCCTAGTGCTGACTCATTTTGGAGATAACGACGGCAAATAGTTTACTCACAATTTTTTTTGTTCCTTGTGAATTTCACACAATGGTTTGTCTTCAGCATTAAGAGTCAGATATTTCGATCTAGCAGTTCTTAGTTGACCTTGTCGCAGTCCACAGCCAGCCACCCGATGGGCTCCACCTGCTCGTCGCAGATACTTCTACTGGGTAGATCTTGGCAGTCAACCTACAACGCACTTGTAACTTTTTTTCTTAGATAGATTGTGCCGTTCTATCTCCAATCTATCATTAACTTTTGTTTTAAGTTACCTTACCTACCTATCCTTTCCAAATGTTTTATTTTGGAAGGTCGGCTTGGTATTCTCTATGCCGACTATATTTCAGCGATTGAAAGCAAGCAAAGTGATGTACTGTTGAGCTCAGTGTGAAAAGGTGTTACATTACTTCACGTTGTCTCTGAATTTCTTTTCTTTTTTGAGATGATTGGCGGTGAGTACACATAGGTAGTGTGGTCTCTGTGATGAAAAAGAAAATGGTCCGTCTCCTACCATATCATAGGTTTATTCTAAAGTTGGGTTTCATTTCTGTCTAATCCTAGTGCACTATTTTTCCGCAGTGCTCTATGACGTCTCCTCTGTTGGCAGTGTTATTCTCGCTTCACTTGAGCACCAGTGAAAAGCGTCGTTAGCTGAATGATCATGCAGACTATGCTTCCGATGGGCTTATATGAACTCATTGTTGTCTTCATGTACTACATATAGCAGAATCCTTCGTTTTCATTTGATTGGATATGTTGAAAAGTTTTTGATGACGGTGAAAGGGTTTGAAGCGGGTGTAGACAGTCAAACGGTATGTAAGTAGAAACTTCAGTGAATTAATGAAAATCTGGGTCTTGGACATACAAATGAGTTAGTACCAAATGTGTTGATCTTCCTTATGGAATAAACTGCAAGAATGCTCTTATTATTTTATTCATAGAAACGAAATTAATAGTATTTGCAACAATTCACGCTTAGAAGAGCAACCAATGTACCAGATTAATCAATTACTAAGATTCAAATCTCATGAATTAAAATGTGCCAAAATACTGTAGAATACGATGGTGTAGTTTTCAGTTTTTAGAATGTGTTTTAGCTTCCAAAGGGACTTAAAGCTGCATGTTGTCATTTAAATTGTTCCTGACCTTTAGCCTCTTCGTTTTCAGAACCAGAGATCTCAAACAGAGTGGGTGTTCGAGAATGAAGTGGAACAAAATACAGAGCTGGAACGTCCGCGTAGTGCAGCAGTTTCTTGTATGATATGCAGTATATACATTTCTAAAAAAAATTTGAAATTTTTAAATAATCCTTGCAGCACTAGTTGAGCCACAGAAATACCATGCCGGTTCTGTAAATTCACAACGGAAGGCAGCGGTGAGGTACGTCAAGCAACCGTGGAAGCTCACTATAAGGAAAGAGGTTGGCGAACATGCTACAGAAAAATCGTATTTTTTACAGGTTTGAGCTAGCATGTTTTTTTTCGGAATTTTATTAGTTTCTGCTTCAGATGTTTCATCCACAGGAAGTGCTCGATGACGTGAACGTCATCAACCAAGTTTTCGCGCAAATTATTTCAGACTGCCGTAAAGGTATTGCTTATCATATCCGAGCATATGAGAGAGACGACGTTGTCAATATACTAAGTAGGTATAGATGGAGGCTCGTTGTGATTTTTTTTTATTTAACGGTCGTCTTTTTGAAAAATTTTTTAAATTGCAGTATTAGTGGAGCTAGAGCTCTAACCTTGTTTCTAGTTTTTCACAGATTTACCTTTAAGGGGCGAAAAATATTCCTCCAGAATTGTTGGACAGACAGGCAGAGATTCCTGTCGACGTGAAAGTTGCAGTTATTTCGGCTGCTCGTAAATGGCCGTTATATTTTATGCAAGTTTACGAGGTGAGAACGTATCTTTTCCAAAGTTTTCGTGCGAGTCACCCACAATGCATGGTTTCTAGGCTGTGGAAGAACGCATAGATGAATCCGTATCTGTACTGCTTTCTATCAGTGAACATGGTGTTCGACTTATTTTACATACTTCACTGGACAAGGAGAATCCGTTAAAAGTACAAGATCATTTCGAGTAAGTACTTCGATTATTATAACTTTTTGTAACTTAGAGTAACCTTTTTTCGCAGCAGTAATACTTTTTAGTTTTTCTGATCTATCTACTATCACCGTGGAAAATGATGGGTTGCTCTGTTTACATACAAGAAATGGTATGGTTATTCGGCTGCGTACAAAAATGGCTCCACAAATAAAGGAACAGATCGATAAATGCATGTTTGGTCAAATCCAGGTCGACAGTTTCCACTATACTTTGTTTTTTTCCCGATTATTCTTTAATTTTGAAGTCGTAGATTAATCAATGTACTTCAAAAGATTCCAGCGTAAACAATTTGTTCGTGCCACATCTGATTACATAACCAAACAATCGAATTTGTTATCATTTAAGAAAGGAGACACTATCGAGCTTGTATGTTTCATTAATCGATTTTATATTTGAGCCTATCTGTGTTACTTAGTGCTTAAAGAGAACATCACGATTTCCTATATCCTTCCTCATCAGATCCCCTTACCAACCAGCGAACTGACCCCGTCTGGATCATGGCTTTACGGAAAAATCGGGAATCGCTACGGTAGTCTTCCTGGGCAGTATGTCGTACCACTCGACGAAAATAACGTTCGTTGATTTCAGTACTTGTTGCTGTATACTGTATGTCGATTTTTCGAAAAATGTGTTTACAAAAATGGAAAACGTTAAACGTAGAAGACACGTTTACTGTTTTACAGCGAGAAGTCGAGGAATCATTTCCCACTCTACCATTGATATACGATAGTATCATTGACGATGGCGACCACATGAACGGCTATAAATATACTATGTTTGAATTTGCTCTTAAACATTTCCGCGGACCGAAAGGATTTGAAAACACTCTGAAGAAGAACAGTATGTTGCTTGATGTATTCTGTGATCCGCATAGGGTAAGCAGTGTCTAAGAAATGTATCCCTCCGGAAGCTCATAAAATCCTTAGTTGTTTATGTTTTACGTGTAACCACTCAATGATTCCTTATCTTTCTAATTCTTCGACGGTGTGCAATGAAAAGTTGTAGCAGGGTAGTTGTAGCAAGATTGTGATTTTTGCGAGTCAAAAGTTAGACTAGGATTACGTGAGTTTTTTCTAAGAGGAATTCGTAACGTTTTTTTTTGTTCTGTTTTGGAGATACTCCGAAATGATTTACTCTGAACATCTTTCCTAAACTCTGTTGAGCTGAAAACTTTGCCAACTTTTGAAACTTAGGTCTCAGTTTTTAATTTGTATTGCAATTATTTAAATGGAAAACGAGATTTGCGTCATAGAATCATTAATGTTTTTATCATAGTAGTATAGCAAAATGTTAGGCTAGAGGTTGGACGCTTCTAGGAAAGGAATGGACGTGGAGCGATATCGCTCATAAAATTAAGTTCACCGATAAGCCGATCTCACACTCTCTAATACGTTTCGACTCAGGCGAATTGGACAAATTGGCATGCGAGACGTTCTTATGTGAGTTTATGCCTTTTCTTCCTATGTTGTGGACAATAACCAAGGAAAAAAAAGATTTTTTCGTAAGCACTTTCCGTTTCTTCTTACAATTACTTACTTGGACACTTGGATGGCCCATCTTCATTGGCTATGCGTGCTCGGCATAATTTCTCCTTTTTCGGAGTTCTGCTGGTTTAGCCATTGTGGTTCCCCTGGAGTCCCGAAGTCAACTTGGCCAAAGTCTGAGCCAAGTCTTCACCACTACCTACAGGCAGTCGCGACCTTTGTGGATCAGAAGGAAATTTGCCACTATGCGGCTAGTTTGATACCAGGTTGTGGTGATTACTGGTATTTGTCTACTCCTAGTTGGGCTTTTGAATGGAAACGTCGGACTTCTCAGCTTGGGAGACCTTGCTGAGGGAAACAACCGCTGTACCTCACATCCCGTCATCCCGGAACGCCTTCCAGTCACAACGAAACGGAAAACTGTTGAGAGTATCTTACAACTACGTCTTTATTATCTGGTTTTCTTTACTTAATTGACTTTTCTTAAAGAAACGATGGAGAATCAAAAAAATCACCTTACATATCTACCGAAAGGGAAAATCTTTAGACGAATCGGACTGTGGTAGTTCAACTGCTCTAAAACAGTAACAGATACTTAGTATCCATGGCGAATAAAAAATAGTTTTGCTGTAAATACGACTTTATTATTAGTCGTATTTGACCGACTATGGATGAAGGAAGCTGTTGGAAGTAGACGAAAAAGTCAATAGAATTACTTCACAGTAAAGCTTCATGGATCGACGCATTCCCTACTTACATATCTGAAATACAATAGCAGTGATGATGAAATATGAACAAAACTCGGAAACTGGGGGCGCTTCGAACTCATGTTTACCCATTGCAGGCGCTTATGTGTTATTGACTGAACCAGCAATGCCCTTGCTTTGCCTACTCTCAACCAGTTGTCACATTATACCCTGCTACGAAGAAAAAACGTAATGGGCAGTAACTAAACGTTCAACATTGTGATTTCTGAAATAATACCTTTAAATTCGTATCCGTTAGGTGCGTGTGTAGCGCAGTGGATAGAAATCCCTTGCAATATACATAGGTTTGATCCCGCTTCGCAGACTCACCAAGCGTTCCATCTTTCTGGGATAGGTACATTGTACCAGACTTATCTAGGAGTTCGACAGATCGGTAGGCCACCACGAGTTACTGTATAGTGCCAAATATACATTAAATTATTTCTAACGATGTTTGGCGAAGTGAAATGTATGGCACATCCTTCGGGACTGATCAATGGCGAGAATTTTGTTCTTTATCCTTTATATTGTAAATGTAAAAATAAAAGGATGAAGCTCTCGGTGTTGATCAATCCCTTAGCGATAGCGAGCGATTTGAGCGTCTTTAGAGGTGACTGAATGCATATCTGGCCTATACATTCACTTGTGGCAGGCGACCGGTGCATCGAGTTAGCGCTGCTATCCTTCCAAGCAAGTTTGGTGCCACTTTTCCGACCACAGAGGGACGGAAGGGTTGACGATCCTGGGGCGTGGGACCGAATCTATGTTTATTCCGGGGCCTCTCTAATCACTACGCTACGTGCTGTCACTGTAGAAACATTTGTAGTATGTGTAGAGTAGTTAAGTCATTTTTTTCGCATTTCTATGTGAGGAGTACAACTTTTCCTGTCAACGCACCACACAACGTCTGTGTGCTACAAGATATCAATTGATAAAAAAAAGTATGGGGAAATAGTTCTACATGTTAAAACAAGCCACCTAGTTCAAAAAAAGGCTTATTGGTGTTATACCGGCCACTCCCGCAAATACCATTGTGCCGCCTGTATGTGTCACTCGTTGCAAAAGTGTTAGTATGAGTGGTTAACAAGTCATAGCATACTATTTTCTTAAATTCGGGTTTTAATAGGACATGGTTATTGCAATCGGGGTTCGCATTCAGTCACTTGTTCTCCAATTTAAAGATTTTTTTATAGACATCTCTGCTGTGTTATGCTTATTGATTTATCCTTGTTGGAAGCTGGTACATTCTATACTACTGAAGTGATGTTAAAAGCAAAGCAGATATTCCAGGTATAATGCGTTACATGGGAGATGAACCCATTCGACGTGGTGAAACAGTCACAGACTCGGTGTATTGTCTATTATTAATTTGTCATAAAAATCCAGCACTACGTGATGAAGTATACTGCCAGGTTATTCGTCAGACTACGAATAACAAATCTAGCAAGTGTGCAGTTTCCTATTTCGTGCTAGTCTTTCTTTTTTGTTTTCCTTTCTTTTCTGTTGTTACTATTATTGTCCCTTTTATAAAGCGAACTGGTTGCCGAACATGTCTAATTGTTGTATTACGTTTTCAGGCAAGAGAGTTCGATTCGAGGATGGAGACTGTTTTCAATACTAACAGCTTATTTTGATTGCTCCCTTGCCTTACGACCATATGTGATCAACTACCTTGTCGAAAATGCGGATGATCATCGAAGAGCTTACCATGGTAAATTTTTGATCACCTTAAACGATAAATTTTATAACAGAATAAGAATCTCGATTAGTGTAAATGTCGCAAAATAATGAGGATTCAAAATAAAGCGTTTCGCGGTGTTTAATTTCTTAGGGGTACGCTATGCATTCGGCTCTATTAAGCATTGTAGTGGTGTGAACGCAAATCACTGACCTGCGCAGTGGTTTTCCACTGCCTACCGATGTATTAAATCAATCTTTCTATGCTCCCAGGAAAATCTGGTAGCACCTTGCTGACCCCTGAGGGAGGTAAGGATTGGTTAACCCAAGGGGTGGAAACGTACCAATGACATATGCCTTCCAGTACAACTGTAACCGCCGCCCTGTATTCGTCTTAATGTAATAATGTTTAACTTATTGAACCATATCCGCTTTTATTTAGCTCTAGAGTTTTTAAACTAGGTTTAGCTTAAGTGACAGAAAAAGTGTCAATTACAACTTTTTAGTCGATAAGGGCTATCTTATCAAGATATCCCCTACTTAATTTTCTGTGTAGTCTTGCTTGATGCACGAACGTACGAAGTGAATGCTTTTCAAATGGTTTCCTTTATTTTAATTGAGCTACCTTTCTTCTCTATTATACAGGAACCGCCCAAATTTGCTTACAAAATTTGAATCAAACCATTCGTTATGGTGGACGAAAGTACTTGTTGAGTGGAATGGAAGTTGAAGAGATTACGGTAATTTTGTTTATTACGTTTTAGAAGTTTTTACTCCAACTAATGACATTAAGTGAGAATGTCGTATATTATTTAGAATGGAAAAATTTTTAAACGTCAAGTGTATACACTTCCTGGAGGTATGAAGAAAGTAATCAATACAAGAAGCGTAACAGTGGTTGAGGAAGCCATTAGGGTCGGTTTTTTCTATTTTTCTGCTTCAGCTTTTTCCACTGCTGTTTTAGGAATTGTGTTTGGAACTTAACATTAGGAGTCCATCCGAGCAACAAGAATTCTGCCTCACCTACTTCCTTGAAAAAGGTTGGACGTTCCCAACCTCTGGTCTTTCTCCATTTACGATCTAAATCGAGTTATGAGTAGAGTTTTATTGCATGTTTTCTTTTCTTATTGTAGAAAAACGACTAGAATACTGTGTCAACAACGAATACGTACTCGACATATGCACTGAATTAGAACACAAGCGCAAACAATTCTACTTTTTGCTAAAACGTTGCACCTGGGTGCATCCAGTCAGGCTGGACGATCAAGTGTATATTGACGTGATGTTTTTTCAAGTAAGAAGTAGTCATATTTGATTTAAAATTGTCTAATATTTACATTAATTTTCTATACAGGTAGTCCCCGATTATTTGCTTGGATTATATCTGACTAGACAAGTTGGTGGTCATCTAAGCGCTTCTACATGTGAAGACATTACCAGACTAGCCGCCTATCTTCACCTTGCATCCAATGAAGGGCAAAGAATCGATGTTACGCCGTTAGTTTGTGCTTTATCATAAGTTGTTAAACGTTAAAGTTGAAAAACGTTTTTTCAGACAAGCAGTACAATCGGTGATACCTTCAGCTGTACTCGAGGGTTCTTCACAGTCAGTTGAAGCGTGGGCAAATAAGATTAACCGGCAGCTACGATCAATGCATCCGAAAACAACGAGTACTCAAGCTAGAGCTGCCTTTTTAGGTACAATGAAATACACGGTTTGCCTGTTCAGTTTGAGTTTCATCTATCATCTTTTAGAAGTGCTGTCTGCATGGCCGTTATTTGGTAGCACATTGTTCTCGTTAGATGCTGTATCATGTGAGGGACGATTGTTGCCACAACTGGAGTTAGCAGTTGGAAGGACAGGTGTAAAACTTCTGAAACCAGGAACTCGTGATGTTTTGGAACAGTGGCCTTACGACAAGGCACGTTGCGAAATAGTTTCTGCCATCAAGAATGAAGCCTGAAAGGAAAGTCCAAAACTCGGACTTTTTTCGTTGCAAGTGAAGCTGTAGTTGAACACGTTCTTTTGGACGAGTTATTCGCTCCGAGAACTTTGTGTAGACGAATCATAGCGAATGTGATATCAAGTCGACAATAAGTGGAGAATAGGTTGTTCGTGAGCTAAGGTTAAATGTTATGAATGAAATCTCACTATGTGGATGAAGCATATCCTATAGAGTACGCTTATCTATACCAAACATATTTTTAGACAGGAGAATTCTTGCAGATAGTTTCAACGAAAACCGAAAATGAATCCGCTAGCTTGGAAATGGTAGTGAGTACTTCGACAACTAATCTAACATATGTGTTCCGTACTAACGAGGTTTGTGCTTTACTATCGATCTGAGTATAATATGTTCATGATTAGTCAACAATTTCAAAGCAGTTTCAGAGTTCTTCAATAACTCGACTTGTTGCCCAGTACACATTTATCGTTGGCGAAAATCGAGGACTACTGAGTGATTGACACTGCTTCCACATAGATTTTTATATTAATCTGTGTGAATTGCGTACATAAATAAAAATTCAGACTATGTGTACTAGGTGAGGTGTGGTATATCAATGCACCCAACGACCACTGGGTTACAAAGCATAGCGAAAAGTATTATTTCTCCAAAGTCAATGAGCTAATGCATGCATTACGACCACAATGCATTCTTTTTTCAGTTAGTAGCCCCAAGTTAAAAGAAGTTGCCGAAATGTCTCTTCTAGACTACTGACTGCTTCATTTGTTGAGTACGCTGACAAGTTTTTTAATGGTATTGTGCTGTCTTTCCTATTTAAGGTCGTATATGAGCACTAACCAATTAAGCGAGCCGAATTTTACAGAATTTGTGTATAGGGGACAAAGGGAATGAAAGCGTTGATCGATTCCTCAGGAATACGCTATGCATTCGACTCTTTTAAGGATCGAAGAGGACATCGAACGCATATTTTGTCTATAAATGCTTTGTGGGGTTGCCGATATATCAAGTTCTGTTCTCATCCATTCACGTAAGCCTAGTACAATTTTGCCTACTCTAAGAGAAGGACGAGTTCGGCTTGAATGAGGCGCACGGTCGGGTTAAGTTTGTGTTAAACACGCGCTGTTGTCCAAATGCTTTTTCCAACCTCAAGAGCTCCAGCTGTTTTGATCCTGGATTCTCTTCAATACATTCCATAGAGCACCTGTATTCAACGACCGCTAATAAATGTTCTCATGATCCGTTGAGTAGTTCAGTGATTTACAGGCCTTCTGAACTAGAGCAGTTCCACATTGCTTGATATCGGAGTAACTATCAGTGTTGTCGTGTTAACGTTCTTTCTGGCAGTGAGATTTCTAGCGAGGCAATTTCTGTTACCTCGTTCGAGTGAGGGCAGTATAAAACTGCTTGAGACAGCAAGAATTGTTCTGCTAGCGATGTGATTGCAAGCAGTTGCGTGAAAAAGGCAAAAGTGACAGCTTCGTCGGCTGATTAGCAACGTTCAACCAAACAGCTTGCTGTTGACCTTCGAAGGAGAGAATCTCTGAAAGGAAATATTACGTTCTGATGTGCGAGGTTCGGCCAACCAGTAGTTGTTTCTGTACTCGAGGGGAAAGCGGTTCTTGTAGAATTTGATGCTGAAGGGAACGTATTAGTTGTGCGCACCACTTGATACTCTTAAATTTTAACGAGCAAATGATATTGAAAAAAATAAAAGGGCAGAACTATAACGATGCTCAAACATTTACAAAAGCGAGGGTTCGCAGCTGTTTGCGGTGGGGAACGAACGCGATATTGCCCTTTCCGGGGGCTAACGCGTTCACCACCACACCATGCGGGTCCTCCGTTTCGCCTGTCTCTCATTTAGTTCTATCGATCGCCGCCATCAGCAATCACCCATCAACGGGATTGATCCGGAGAGCTTAAAAAACTCCGGTTCGCAGGTTTCTGCGATGGGGAACGAACGCGATATTGCCCTTTCCGGGGGCTAACGCGTTCACCACCATACCACGCAGGTTCCTCGTTTACCCTGTCTCTCAGCTACTTCTATCAATCATTGCCATCAGCAAACACCTGTCAGCGAATTTGATCTAGAGAACCCAATTCGGCAATGAACCCAGTTAAGCTGGTGTTGTAGTTGAAATCACAATGTTAAGTTTATTTATTGCCTACTACAATTTTTCACGGCTGGGTATTACATGGAATAATAAAAGAGTAGAACTGTGAGCGTTGATCAATACCTGAGGGATGCGTCATGCACTCAACTTTACGAAGCATCGTTGAAGGTGAATGAATGCATATCTGGCCTTTACAATGACTTGCGGTGGCCTACCGACGTATCGAGCCAATGCTGCTATCCTTCCAGAGAAATTTGGTACAAATTTGTTGACACCGGAGGGATAGAAGGCTTGGTGAGCCTCTGATGCGGCGATCGATCTATTCGTCTCCGAGCTAACAAGTTCCCAGTTCAGTGTAAGAGAATCGCGTTTAAGCTGACTCGGCCAAAGTGTCTAGCTTCACTATCTCGGGACATGATAGGGGTGTTGGTCCTAACCAGATCGAATGTACTGTGGTTATTCTGAAATCGTTCTGCTCTGAAGTTTGCGTGATGAAGTTTTAAGTCACTACGAGATCTAGCCGAAGCATTGGTGTTCACTTTTCATATTTGATTTCTGGCTTTCCAAAAAGGAGCACTCCGGCAGAATGTTTATGATTACAGAATTCGTCAATTTGATTTACTGATTAAATCTCGGATTCATATTCAGATTCTGGCCCAATATCTGAATCTTTTTCTGGGAGAGGCGGACATTGTGCTCTATTCGATCTACCGAATTACTGTTCGATTGTGTTCGTCGGTACTGCCGTCACAGTGCAGCTGGTCTCGGCATCGATGGTCCTCTGGTCGGAGTTGGTGGGTGTTTGGCTTAGCTGTTCTTTTTTTGTATCAGATATAGCATAATGTAGGAGTTGATTACTATTATAAGTGATAGTTCCCGGTACCTTGAATATTGCTTTTGATCAAATTATCTCGAATGTTTTATCGCAGCCTTTTTTTTTAATGCGTAACCTATAAGTGGCTTTCAAAAGCATCATTTTCTTTTGTTTGGACATTGCATAGGACGATCTGAGGGAAGTCCGTTCATCAAACTTACTCAGGAAGTTCATCAGGTTTCTACTTGATCCTTGAACGTTTCCATCAGGAAACCTAGCTAAGAGTAAACCAATAATAGGATCCACCACCGACCTGGTATCAAAGTCGCATGGTGGCAAATCTCCCTCTGATCCACAAGGGTTGCGACTGCCGGTGGTGATGAAGACCTGGGGCAGACTTTGGCCAGGATGGCTTCGGTATTCCAGGGAACTACAATGGGTTAACCAGGCAATCTTAGAAAAATTGTGATTATGCCGGGGGTTGCACAACCAATGATGAGGGGCCGTTCAAGTTTCAAGTAACTGAAATCTGAGGAAGTCGTTATGTTTACTAAATTACTTGTCAAGCAGTAGTTGTCGTAGTAGGTCCATCAACAGTTTCCATAATATTCACACACCGTGGCTGACCTCCGATTACATTGTGCATATTTTCTTGTTGTTATCTTAGAGCTACAAAACTCTAAAGCTCTAGAGCTTTTTAGCTTTAAGATAGCTAAAGAAAGTTCTCGGCGTTGATCAATCCCTGAGGGATGCGCAATGCATTCGACTTCATTAAGCATCGCTGGAAGTGAATAAATCCATATCTGGCCTTTACAATGCCTCGCGGTGGCCTACCGATGTATCGAGCCATTGCTGTTGTCCTCCCAGACAAGTTTGGTAGCAATTTGTCGACCCCGGAGGAATAGAAGTCTTGGCGGACCATAGGCGCAGGGAACGATTCCACATGTGTGTTTCATAGCCCCTCCGACCACTGCGCCACACGTGCCTTTTGTTACTATCTTACAATCTTTAATACAGTGGTTTAGGAAACTGTTTTTGTGAACTATATCGAAGATTTTATCCGCGCGTTTCATCATGAGCAAATACTTTGAACTGGATATGCTTCAAGCTGAGTGCTTCGCTCTTGTTTCAGACACGTTGAAGGGAATCCGTAAGTACTATTATTTTCCATTTGTTCAGAGATTTAATTTAGTGTTTGGTTTAGACAGAAAGTATGAGAAAGGAGAACTGAGCGAACAGCAGTTTACTGAAGTGCAGCAGCTCTGCAGCACAATCCGAATGTGTCACCTTTTCAAGGATTGTCCCGACCAGCCGCGCTATTCTGAAGCGGATCTTGCAGATATTGATTCGGTAGGTCTCAGTAAATACAACATGGAAGTAGTCTTGACTGCTTGTTTGCACGTTTTATATAGGATTTTCTTTAGGAAGATAGTTATGAGGATGCTGTCACTTTTCTGAAAGGTGTGTTTATTTTCAAGACGTCTACTCAAGCAATCGTCGTCTTATTTAAGTACATTTCTTACTTCGTTATATATTGCGCATAGTTGTAAACTGCTTAATACTCTCGCGATGAATGACACTCAAAGATTTAGTAATGGTTTTGCGTGAATGGCAGGTATGACACCTATAGGTGTCATTTTCTTGCCGGTAGTTTATTTTGGTGCGCAGTAGTTTTTCCCAGACTTCTTGTAATGAATCGGTAGTATATCAAACGCAGTTGCTATGGTAGGTTTCGTCTATGGAAAGATATCTTAATAATTGCTCACTAATTTCTCAGCTATCGCCGAAAGACCATTGCTGTTGGAGAGCATGTGGCGTGAGTAATGTGACCAATAAACAGGCGCATAAATGCCTCTGCCGTGAAGAATTCGGTGTGTATCCAACGTGCAGCATCATTTTCGGAAAGGAATTGGTTGTCTTCTAATTTTAATCCTTATGGTGACCTCTGCTTGTGTTTGGAATGAGAGGATATCAAAACCACAAGGTAAACGTAATAATTGTTGCAGAACTTTTACAACTTCATTAAATGCTGACAGCTTATGATCGCATAGTGGACGACAGTTTTTGACATGAGGAAGTGTGTAGAAAAAACATGGTACATAAATATGAGAAAAGTAGGGTAGAAGTTTTTTGAAAACGCAGAAAAAAACCGATTTTTGGAGCAGAAATCACAGCAGGATAGGGCGGGGTGGGGTGACACAAAAACTCCGGAGTGACCAGAGTGTCACAGTGAACACGATGGAAAATTAGGCGTCGTCCACTACGTGAAATGCGAAGTTAGGCGTCGTCGCAAGTGTGTTAAGTAGTCGGATTAGTCCAACTGGTTCGTTTTAACTATGTTCTAGACAGCAAATCAGTTTAAGAATTACTAAATCTAGCAGGGAGGGCGAAGTCTTTAGTCAATCATTAACCTGAGGTTTTTTTCTGAGAATGCCGAACACGCTCATGGTGCTCTCCGACTCTTGTATGTACGCTTCTTCATGTCGTTTTCCATAATCATTCATCGTTATGTGTACACCTTCGATTGGTGTCCGTAATCAATAACTAGTAAATTCGACTTGTTTTCTACCTCACCACTGATATGTCGTAATGGATTTCCACTTCACGGATAACTAGATCTCTTCGTCTAATTACCTCTTATCGGCATTCTTGTGCTTGATTTTTTTTTGCATGGAAACGCCTGTGATTTACGATATTCAGGCAGATGGCAAGGTCGGCATTAGAAAAAAAACTTTCTACTTTTTTTCCACGCTATGATTGGAACTGAATTTAATTTTCTTGAGATCATTTGCTCAGTTTTCCAGTTTTCCACCATGTTCCGCTGTTTTTTCCGCTTGAATCAACCCTTTTACAAGTATTGTGGAATTATTCTTCACAGATTTTTGAAGTTACATTTTGAAATGTAAAGTGTTTTCTCCTACACGAAAAAGCTAGGAAAAAAGTGATAGTGATTTATTTTGTTGACATGTTGTAAATCAGTTATACTATGCGAAAGATAGGATATAAAACATGAGGCAGAAGTAGCTACGTGCTTGTCTTGAGGCGAAGGTACTTTCAGAAGGCCTACTGCTTGTGTCTTTCATAAAAACAGTTATATCCTTGCATACGTTCAAGTTCTCTCGTGTGTTTGCGTGTATACCAAATGCTATTTGCATGATGATTTGGTCAGAACCTACCGTCGGTCACTCAAACAGCAGCCAAACTTCATCTATATTACCTATCTTCTCATTGATCGTTGAGTGATTCAAACAGTTAGCAGTAAATCTTATATTTTTTCCTGTCGTGTACAAGACTAGTCTTGTGCGTTCTGCTTCCTTTAAGGTATCGTTGAGCATCACATTATTCTTCATTAGTTTTTGTGAAGAACCGTGACCATCGGGTCGGTGGTCTTCATGGTGTGCGTTTAAAACCCGAGGAATCCAGTTGCTAATGGTTCTTGTCGGGTGGTTAATTTTTATATACCCTACGTGTCTGGCTATCTTATTTCGATAGTTTGGCAAAAAGAACGGCGCTTTTGAATTTTCATTGTTAACGTAGGTCGGAGGGGTGTGTGTGGCGCAATGATCGGAGGCGTCCTGCAACGCACATGTGGAATCGATCCTCGCGTCCATGGCCCACCAAACCTTTCATTCCTCCGGGTCAGCAAATTAATACTAGACTTTTCTAGGAGGGCAGCAGCACTGACTCGATACTTTAGTTGGCCAATTTGAGTAATTGTAAAGGCCAGATTGAGGTGGAATGCATGGCGCATCCCTCAGGAATCGATCAACGCCGAGAGCTTTATCCCTTTTAATCCTTTAACATAGGTCAGAGCATCGGATCCCTTCTCTCATTTGTGTTATGCGAGATGCTCCTTGCATTATCCTTCGACTGCACGTTCTGTAACGCGAGGCGATCTATCATCCTATTTACGTATGGGTCAAGTTTGTGGCACATACGTCAAGGCAGGAGCAATCGTAAACTCGAACAGATGAGCACGGAGTCGGGTGTTTTTTGTTCTACTTATTTCATCCTCGATGCTCCTAAAAGCTTCCAAACCGCGCTTTCTCATGCTCAGATATGGAGCTAAGTCGTACATCATGTTCATTTTCATGGTTATTAGCCGATCACAAGATATGCAGCCAAGTTTACAAGCGAATATCCGGAAACACTTATGGAATATGGATGCGAAGAATTGAATAGAATGTAGGAACTACTAAGATCTGCACAAGGTTTGAAGTAGTGTCGTGGGAAATAAAATAAAATAAATGTATATACACATATGTTTTCCTTTTATTACTGAGATTTTACGACAATGATTTCATTCCTAATTCAGACTTTTTCAATGACCGCGCATATAGCGATGCTAATTCTGCGTTCTTCGATGATGCGATGGATGCTCATAGCGGTGCTGCTGCTCCGTCCGACGAGGACGCGATGGATGACGAAGTAGTGCACCCAGCTGATGATTGGCGGGTGTATCACACGACGGACGAGAAAATGGAGCAGTAATCAGCAATGTAGTGAATGAATATGCAGACGCTCATTAAGAGAAAGAGTACATGTTATAGGAAAGAGCTTTAAGCGTTTAATATATGTTAACGCTATTGTGTATTTTGCTTTTATGTCATAGTTTTTCCGCATATTGGGAACTGTATTTAGAGGTAAAGAATACATTTTCTTTCATACTAATAATACTTAATACTTTAATACTTTTCCTACTTTCCGTGGAAATTCTTCGCGTAAAATATCCAAATAAAGCAGATGAAGCTTACGTAGGACAAGTAACCTCTCTGGACTTCGTGGATCTTTACATCGCAAAAAGTTGGATACCGGCGAGAATATAGATCACGGTTAATTAGTACTTTTAGTAGTAGGTTCTCAATAGCAGTGTTGGCATAGATGGTATAAAACGTCGGGACACACCTCTGGAAGTGAACTAGGACTAGGTGATATGTTTTTGGTATGAAGATGACTACTATTTTCGATCCTAAGCCAATATTGCTAAACTCGTAAAAGCGTAAAGGATAAAGCTGTCGGTGACAATCCTGTGCCATGCATTCCTCTTCATTAAGCATCCAAGGAGGTACTTAAATTCATATTTGGCCTATTCACTAACTGGCGGTGGCTTGCCGATGTATCAAACCAGTGCTGCTATCCTCCCAGACAACTCTAGTACCATTCTGCAAACCCCGGAGGGACGAAAGGCTTGGTGAGCCATGGGCAAGGAGATCGATTCCACGTGTGTGTTGTAAGGCGCCTCCGACTACCGGGCCACACACGCCCCTATATATCTGATCTTGTATACCTTGCATATACCTTGCATTTAAATTAAAATAGCATTCACAACACTTATCTCATAAAAACTAGCGAATGAAGAAGTATGGCACCACTTTTTATAGAAAATATAGGACTGGAGACTACCCAGAGAGAATTCGAGAAGCCTTGAGATGACAGATGTCTTACTAAACTCGCATTGTATCCATTTCTTCTTGTGTAAGGCTGCTATTATATTATTCCACGCGAATGCTATGTAGATGGCCTCATTTCCCAAAACTACGCTAAAGAAAAGTTTCTCAACATGGCGAAGCCGTCAAAACCTTAGATAATAGGAACTAAAACGTGTTAAAAACTTCGTATAACCTGGTAAAGAACAGTTCATAGCAACACTACAACTTAATAACCAAAAAGAAGGTTGAATAAACACCAGCCTCTATATTCATTCGACTGGTAATAATGTTAAATAGTTTTGTTTGAAGAGACTATCGTTGTTGCCTACAGAAGCTGCTGAAGAGAAGCTACTCAGAACTTAGAAGCAGAAAAAAAGTTCTGCTAAAAATGAGCAAAGAATGTTCTTTAGAACTGATTTACTGTATGAGAAAAACATTCTGTCGTTGATGCAAAGAGTATACAAGTAGAGTATACAACTGTAATCTCTCCCAATAGATATAAAAGGTAGTTTACACGAACGAGAGTTTCCTCGGTGTACCCATAGAAAGTCTGTTCTACAATTCTGTATTGTCCTCCACCGGTGAAGTCCTCTAATTGTAGAAAAAAATTTTATCTTTGAGAACCAGAAAATCCACAACCTGCGAAGTGGGAGTTATGGGTTAAACATGTAGGAACGTCTACACCTTGTACAAAAGCCTATAACGGCGTGTTAATCATGGTTCGGTTCTTGAAACAACATTGACGTATATATTCACTGTAGCCGTACTCCAGAAGTTGGTGGGCTTGTTTTCTTCAGACTCGGCTTCTCACCGACATCGTGTTTTGAGCAAACATTAACTATGACTTAAGTAATATACGTGGGTATCACGGTAATGTGCACTTTAATAGCCAATTTATTATTGCGTATTTTTTGTAGTCTCACAGTCACAAAACTAGATTAAAACAGCTTCAAATCTTGCTGTCGTTGTCTTTACTATATGTTTTATTGCCCTTGACGTTGTTTTTGCGTCAATTTTAGTTGTTCCGCCTAGTGTAAAAAAATTTTTAGGTACTGAACCTAGAAGCTATTTCTCACACACCGGAAGATATCGAAGACAGTGAATTGATTGAAGACGAGCAGCTCTGCGATGATGTTGAGAAGCCCACTACAGGTGACTGCGTTTCAGGGTTTGGAAATTTGGTGAAAAGAAACTTGTGATAACTTAGATAATTGGATACTTGGAAGGCTCGTCATCACTGGTTGTGGAAACCTCAGTATGATCTCCATTTTTCGGAGCTTTGCCTGTTTAGCTATTGTTTCCCTAGAGTTCCGAGCTCCGCTCAGCCAAAGTCTGCTCCGGCCCATCACCACCAAAGGCAGTCGCGGCCCTTGTGGATCAGGGGGAGATTTGCAACCAAGCGAGTAGTTCGATACCAGGACAGTGGCGGATCTTGGTATTGGTTTGCTCATAGCTGCGTTTCCTCATGGAAACGCCAGACTTCTTCTCAGCTTGGGACACCATGCCGCGAACGGTGTTAGATGGCGATTGATTCCAGTGCACAGCAAGTCGGCGTACCCTGCTACTGATCTCTCGTTTGCACTCGCAAGTAGCGATCCTCGGCTGATAGTCCCGCAAAATCGCAGAATTAACATTGCTAGATTTCGATTAGTTGCAGTGAATAGAAAGCTAGTATACTAGCATACTCAGGCATTGTTCCTTCATTGGCAGTCAGAAGTAACGATCCCCGACTGATAGTTCGGAGGCAAAACTGTAGAGACAACGGTGTTCGATGGCGATTGATAGCAGTAAAGAGAAAGCGGGTATACTTGGATAGCTGGCACTCAATAGTAACGATTCCCGACTGAATCGTTCCAAGCTTGATGAATCGTTGTCGAAAAAACAGGGTTTATTTGAGGTTTATACCCCTAGAACGAGAACCAAGTCGTAAGAATCCTTGTATTTCATCTTAATACGCACGTGTGGCTTGATTTTTTTTTTGCTTTTTCAAAATAGTGCTCTTATTTGCGCTCATTGTTCTGTGTTCAATTTTTCCCTTTTTGGTGTCTCATATGGAATATTTCGTTTGCTTTCTCGTAACTTTTGAAATTCCTTCGTTTTTCAGTTTTATTTTGCATAATGTTTTTCTTATAGCTTTTCAGTGTTGATTGTTTGGCGGTATATGTTTGGATAAATTCTTGTTAATTTTGAACAACAAGTGCCTCGATTGTGGAGGTGATGATGTGTCATGAACGAGAAGGAACTGGATGAGAAACGTGATTGCACACGCGTGAAATTTGACGAAATTGCAATTCCATGATTCACGCACGAATACTGGTAAATGAATTACATTCAAAGATGTGCGGACGTTGAAGGCGATTAAGGTTGGTGAGACAAAACTCAATAAAAGCTTCTCTTGAGAAGCGACAATTCATGATCACACAACTGATAGTATGAAATGGTGACAAGAATAAAAGGCCAAGCTCGCGGCGTCGATCGATCTCTGGGGGATGCGCCGTGGGTTCGCTTTCATAAAGCATCGTTTCGTGTGATTCAATACCTATGTGGCCTATACAATGGCTCGTGATGGCCTACTGATGTATCGATTCAGTGCTGCTATCCTCCCAGATCGATACATTTGTATAAACGGTGGTAACGTTGAAGGACTTCATTACGTACGCGCAGTTAGCACGCAGGATACGTAGACGATCTGGGAACATTGGGGTATTCGTGAAATTAGATGGTATGTTTTAGCAGCTGAATTAAAATCAGGTTTATAGATTAAATTATTATATCCGTAGCTTCGTCGACGCAACTGATGATGGTTCTAATCTTATACGATGAGAGATCGGAAGATGAAAGGTGTTGGATACTATTTTACTAGCTCTGATCAGTAAGTATAAGATAGGATATTCTCTGATCTGAGCTGCTCAAATTTTCCACAAATTTGTGACTTTGTGCGACTGATCTCAAGTACTAATTGGAGAACCTATGAAGAACAAAACGATGAGTACTAAAGAGAAGCTGTTAACTATACTCCAACACTAATTGGAGAGCCTAAAAGAACAAAAAGATTAGTCTTAACCCTTTTATTTACTGCCTTTTTTTTTTAATGGCATGGTATGTTGCGAAATATAACTCGTATATAATGCTGAGATATTTGCAAAACTCCGGACCGCAGGTGTATGAATGACTTTCAGGTAAGGACAATAGCGCGCATTCGTTTCCCACCGCATACACCTGCGGTCCGGAGTTTTGCAAATATCTCAGCATTATTTACGAAGAAGATTAGTGTTTAAGAGAAGCTGTTAACTATTTGAACAAATATTTATTTGTTAACATTTACGTCTTGAGATTGATTATCACAGTGTTTTCCTGAGAGGATTGTTTGTCAATATGATTCTTCCAGCCTCTCACGAATACGAAGTGATCAAAACCTCAGCAAGTATTGTATTGAATAAATCCTGTTGTTAACAATCTCGTGTTTGGTCATCAATAAAACGGCGAAATGTTGATCAATGCCGAAGTTGAAATAAAGTTGCTTCTGGGACTCATACCCTTTGATCACCAATGACAACGAACTTGGACATCGCCTTGTAAGGACGTGGCCTAAAGCGGGCATTCGTAATCGTGGTTGACACAATACTACCCACTTCGCATACTTCGGAAAAACTTCGCATCGAAAATCATGGATTAAAAACTAGTGAGTAAGTTCGAAAGATATCCGTGTTTACTAGGGTGGCTAAGACTATTCATGGCGATCAAAGTCCAAAACTTTATTCTTAAAGTTGGAAATGAGAGTCTGCCAATGTAATGTGCGAATTGAAATGTTGCTTAGCTGATGTCATTGTCAGCACAATGTTCCGCACTACATTCAACTATCTTTTTTGCAAGGTAGTTTTAACATAACGGAGTGAGAACCTGAAGATTTAAAAACTCGGAAATGAACAAAAAAACAGGATTCGAGCAATCGCAAACTGGAGCTTGTTCACTTTTTGTCTGCTTTTGGAAAGAGAAAGTTATCGAAGTCATCAGTTTGAAATACGACCGGATTCTGTTCAAGGTAGTGTGGATAAATCCCAG